TCCCTCGGCCCTTAAAGGGGAAAGGTTGCCTACCCCTGCTCTTGGGTGACAACCCTAATGTGTACCCCAAAGCCTATTTTTTGATATTAGGTCTACTGTTCAAGCCGACTGGGCATAAAGGGAGAAAATTCTCCTGGCGAGGAAGGACTCTCTGCCCTTCTTTGCCGGGGTGGAGAGAGATGCAGCCAGTTCCTACGTTTCTCCCCAGAAAGGAAAGATTCTCAGTCCAAGAAAGGCAAGGGACTCTTTTCAATTCAAAGAATTGACCCTGGATATTCCTTCTCCTCATTCTCCAGAGAAATGTGCCTTCCCCACACAACTTCAAGTCATCCCGCAAAAATTGTTTCTTTTGCTACCTCTTCTCTTAGCCTGTCTGATGAAAGAAAGCAGGAGCAGCAGTGAACTAGCCAGCCAAGTTCTGGCAAAACTCAGAAAGCTTAAGCAGGTTCCCAAATACGAAAGGTCCTTTTTGCCGCCACTTTACTCCTGCCACCATGGGCTCTAACTCCTAGCTCCAGTCAGTCAGTCTGTCAATCTATCGGTCCCAAAATGGTGTCACGGAAGTGAGCTCGCGCAAGCTAGCAAAGAGTGGGAGTTACCACCACACAAAGTGATCAACAAGGCTACATGGTGGTTTTAAGGGACCCTCATCCCCACCATGCATCCCTCATCCCCATCATGGCCCTAAAGGTCATTGGTTCCCTTTGTCTTTCTTGTGAGCCAATACTTTGACTGAAGGCCCCCCTGCAGACCCTTTTCCCTCACTGCCCGCCGGATCTTTCCACTGTCCCCGGGGGGGGGTACCACCCACTTTGGGAATCACAGCCTTAGTGAGTTTTCACAGTTACTGAGGGACAAACAGATGTTATCTTTTATCATTATGGATAAGCTTTTGTGGCTTAGAACCTGTTTTCCTGTAGTGATGTTGTGTAGTGGTTAGTACAGAGTTTTGAAACATGTCCCAAGGGTGATGAAGTGACTGTGGGGCATTCCCCAGCCCTTGAGTGAGTATTTTTTCCATACTTGTTTTCTTCCTCAAGTCATTCAGTCTCATAAATGACTGGGCATTGCTAGTCCATTAGGAAATCTGCTCTTGTGTGCCATGGCTTAATGCCAGAATGGCAGGATATCCATCAGTAATGTGGCTGCAAGTGACTGAGAAGCTATCGTGTTTGGTGCATTCAGCAAGATTTCTTAGTGAGACTTTTCATCATTTCTTTCTTCTTTTCCAGATCACTTGACCCATATATTGATAGGATTTTTGTTTGCTTCCCCTCCTGAACTCCATTGCTGGACACTTACTCAGAATTCTCACTCACAGACCCAAGGAAAGCTGGGGGGTCCTTAGGGTAGAGTGTTGGACTGGATAAACTTTTTCAGAATTTTAAAAAGCTTTTTTGGGGGGGAGTTTGAAGGCCCCTTAAGGGGTTATAAAATGAATGCAGATCCTAGATTGCCCTTTCCCCATACCTGTTACAAGGTTGAATGTCTCTGGTTTTGTAGAGCATCATTGTCAGCAGCAAAAACTGCTGCAGAGGGAATCAGTTTTTCATTTGCTTCCATTGCTTTTGATCTTGGAGAAGCAGTAAGTGTTGATCATTGAAGGAGGCCCGAAACCTTGCTGTCAGTTTCTACATCAGTTGATTGTAACTTGTATTGCATCATGCTGTCTGGTGCATTTATCATGTCTCTTGTTGGTTTTATTTTGATTTCTTTGTATAATTTGATTTGATTTTTGTCTGCCTAGAACTTGCTAATAGAAGTATGGGATACGTTGCAGTTCACTTTATATCAGACACAAGAAAACATGCAACTCTCTAGATGCTCTTCAACAACACCTCCCATCATCCCTCACCATGGTCTATATTGACTGGTATTGACAGAAGTTGCAGTCTTGCAACATCTGGAGGTCCACACATCTCCCTTCTCATTTTATATGATCAGGTAGATCAACCCTAAGCCCACGCTATTGCATGGGCTTCTTGACAAGATTTGTTCAAGGGGTAATTTGTGTTTGCCTTCCTCTGTGGCTGAGAGAATGTGACTTGGCCAAGGTTACCCAGTGGGCTTCCATGGCTGAACAAGGACTTGAACCCTAATCTCCAGAGTCATAGTCCAATGCTCCAACCACTGTACCATGCTGACTCTTTGTCCTTTTCTCTCCTTTTTCTTTTTAACCCTTTACCCCACCCATTCATACCTTCCCATCCATTCTACCTTGGTAAAATAATACTGTTCTTTAAAGGCTGTTCTTGATCTGTACCACTGAAGCTGCAATCCGTAATTACATGAGTGATTATTATAGGAAAGCTTTTCTCTTGTGAGCTGTGCAGTGATTAACCTTTTGTGATTTTGACAAGTAAGACATATGTGAAAGCCTTTGAATTCACAAGTTCTCTGTTATAGAAACTGGCAGATCAGGTGTCACCAGTGTAGTTCTTTCTAAGCCAAGCCTGCAAGCTGCCATTGTCAGTGTTGTTAAAACTTGTAATAAAAGATGTGAAAACTTGTGTGAAACCAAGGAGTGAACTTAATGATAAGCATGAATTTTTATCAGAAAGTGAGGATATAGATCTTTGAATATGAAATGGCTCATGACCCTTAACTGCTTCAATAGTCTCTAATTCTTTTCTCTCTTTCTGTATGTTTGCATGTGTGTGTGTGCGCACACACACACACTTTGTATTGTGGCATTTGAAATGTCACAATAAACAGTAAAGTATTAGCTTTATTCTACTGTCTAGGTCTCTAGGAGTATCATCTGATTAAATACTTATGAATTTGCCTCTAAGCAATATTTTCAAAATAACATATGCTAAGTCAGAGCTTTGAAGAGTTACTCCTGATGCTTCTGGTGTTACTGGCCATATTAGCTGTATTGGCAAGAAGATTCAGGGAGTCGTAGCTCCCCAAAAGGAACTCTTTCAACCTCTGCATTAAATTAAATGTTACTGATACTTCGGTTTTGCTATTATTTTTGCATTTAACAGGCAGGAGACTACCTGCAAAGACATTTTTTAGAGCTGCTTGTTTCTGCAAAACACTATCCCATGACGTGAGCAATTAGAAATGAAACTTTGTGGTAGTGAAGTAGTTTCAGGCTCTGAGCTGCCCCAACCAGCCCACTGAACATTGTTAAGCTTCCTGTGCAGGCTAAAACCTTGCAAGAGCAACAAGGTCTTCCTGGTTGTGTCCTGTTTGTCGGCTATGACTCTTCGCTAGATTCACTGGCTTTGGCTCCTGAGTCACCTGTGGCTGTGTCTACAGCTCAGATGCTCTGACAATTTTCACATCCTTGTTCTACAGACATGAAAGCCCAGTTTTTAATTGCCATCTCTTTAGGTTCAGCCTCTCCCTCCCTCTCTTCCTTCTTTCTCAGCCTTTCCCCTCTTTTACTCCTCCGCCAAAACAAGCCCCCACATCTGTTAGCCTTTTATCACTGCTTATCTGTTGCCATAGTCTCACATTACACTCCATGTTAATCTTCAAGGCACTTGCTGTCTTGTCAGTGCTTGACAGCAGGTGATTCAGTAATGTGCTCACCTGTATCACTGCCAGTTTTATCCCTCCTCATGATTACTTACTATTTTAGTAATGTAAGAAATTCCTGTGGGCGACCATGCTGGTCTGCCAAAGCAAGGACACACAAAAAGAGGTGTTTTGTTTTGTCCACTCATGCATTGTTGTTCTATTTGTCATCAAGTCAGCTTTGACTTATGGCTGAATGACCTCTTGGAAGAGCCCTGGTGATTCACAACCCTGCTTAGATCTTACTAACTCAGGGCCATGGCTTTCAATCAAGGCTCAGTATAATGTGGTCTTCCTCTTTTCCCACTGCCTTCACCTTTACCAGGTATTACTATCTTTTCCAGTGCATCACATTCAAAATATGAAAGCCTCAGTTTAGTCTTTTTGCTTCTAGTGATTGTTCAGACAATTTCCTTCACCTTTACCAGGTATTACCATCTTTTCCAGTGCATCACATCCAAGCCTCAGTTTAGTCATTTTGGCTTCTAGTGACAGTTCAACTTGCTCTTGGCCCCGTTCTTTAAAAATTATTGTTGTATTTGTAGAACTCTCCTTTAGCGCCACATTTCAAATGAGCTGATCTTCTTTCTGCAGGTTTTCTTCACTGTCCCACTTTCACAACCATACATAGTAATTGAGACTGATTCTGGATAGATGGAGGATTCTGACTATACTATTTAATGATGTATCTTTACACTGTAGATTCTTATCTCATTCTTTCATTGCTGCTCTGCCTCATCTTAGTCCTCCTCTGATTATTTGACTAAAGTCTTTATTTTGATTAATGAGTAAACCAAGCAATGGAAAATTTTTATTTCAATGTCTTCATCATCCAGTTTAAAGTTATTTAAATCAGCTGTGGTCATTATTATTTTTATTAATATTCAGCTACAACCCTGTTTATGAACTTTCTTCTTTAACTTTCATCAGTAGACATTAAATCTCTCCAGACTTGAGGTGTTGCAAGTCACTCTTTTGTGTTTGATATTATCTCCTAAAAAGCTGTTTGTCCATCTAACCATGGAGGGCAGGTAAAGTTAATTCCAAAGGCCCCTTCCTAACTTGGTGGCCTTGGATAGACTTCCTTGTAAAAAGCATTACTCATCCAAATAGCACCAGGTGGTGAGGAGCTACCATGTTAATTTCCAGCAATGCCTTCGGATGTTCATATGCTGGAGAATTGTTGGAAACTGAAGTGATAGCTAGACCTGACATCTTAGAACACTGAGAAAGCAAGGGTTTTTTTTTTCCTCAAGAAAGGCCCAGGATAGGAACCAGTGATGACATCTGTCAGGGTGTTGGGGACCAAGCAGTCTCCCAAGAATGCTAGGTGTTGACCGTGGCATCTAGTCCAGCATTGTCCGTTCAGACTAGCAGTAGCTCTCCAGATTCTTAGATAGGGATTCTTTATAATTGGCTAGCAGATAGTTGTAACAGGAAATGTTGGGGATGACAGAAGTACCTTTTTCATCTGTAATGGAAGCATGATTAAAAAGGTATCAGTAACAACGTCTTTTGTATTTTGTGAATTTTTAACAATGTATTTTTTAATTTGTTATGAGATGCTTTGAGTACTCAACTGGGAAAAGGGTAACATAGGAATAAATTTAATAATGATAGTAGTACTAGTATTAGCATTAGTAGTAGTAGTAGTAGAAGAAGAAGAAGTTATTAATAATAGTGATTTTGGAGGGTCTAAAACACCAAAAATCACTTCTCTCCAAAGGCACTGAGTGCTGTACTGCCCATCCTAATGAAACTAGAGACTGTTAGTTTGGGTCCCGTGTTAAGAGAAAGGTGAGATATAAATAAAATAAAATGATTTATTTATTTATTTTGGGGAAAGGATGCAGTGGCTCAGGTGGTTAAGACGTTGACTATGTGATCAGCAGGTTGGCAGTTTGAGGCCCAGGTGCTGCGTGATGGAGTGAGCTCCCATCACAAGTCCCAGCTTCTGCCAGCTTAGCAGTTCGAAAGCGTGCAAATGCAAGTAGACCACTTTGGCAGGAAGGTAAACAAAAGTCTGTGCAATCATGCTGGCCACATGATCCCAGAGTAGTCTCTGACAACGCTGGCTCTTTGGTTTAGTAACAGAGATGAGCACCATCCCCTATGGTCGGACACGACTTGACAACCCTGTAAATGGGGAATACCTTTACCTTTACCTAGAGGGCTTGGAGAGTTCTAATTGGTCACAAAAACAGATAATAAGGGCCTTGTTCAAGCAATGTGTTGTCTCACCCCGATTTAAAACATGTTCTCCATCTCACAGGCTTCTGCAGTATCATAAAGAAAAATGTGGATACTGTGACACTACCAGCATCATTGTGACACTAGCAGTATCACTTTCACTACATGTGTTTTTAAACCATCTTTGCTTGCTAAAGAAACCTAGGGGATCTGAAAGCTAGCATGATAATGTATTAATTGTAACTTTATAGGAGCTGTCCAAGGTATTTGATTATTGTCTTCCCCCAGTAGATTCAGTTCCTTTCAAGCTTGGTCTGAAACTTGGTCTGAAACAACCACTGCTTGTCTGTCAATCTCAAATGTTGCCCATTTAGTAGGGGACACATTTTTCTCCTTATTAACCCATCTAACTAATAGATTAAATGTTGCAGACTTTGTAGCCATGCTTCTTTTATGCTGGATTTATGTCATGGTAGAAGAATGATGCTTTGAAAGATGCTGACAAATTGCAAGTGATCTTTTGCTAATTAACTACAGAGGTTGAGGTATGGGTCACAGCCATAGCAAAGTACCCATATTTTAGAACACTGGATAAGAATTTTTGTGTGTGTTTGTGTGTGTCTTTATCTGTGTACATAGTTATATATGCTACTGCCTAGAGTTAGCCCAGGCAATCTATGTGGAATAGGAGGCATTCTAGATTGGACAGTAGATAATCTAATTCTAGATTTAGTTCAGTAGATAAAATAATTGTGTGTTTTTGTTTATCATAATAACTAAGTTTAATTCAATATAATACAACAGAATATGAAGTGTATGATAAAAGTTTATATTTTGATATGCTGAAAACAAATGTTTGAACTCAGATGAGTTATTCTTGCAAGTATTCTCTTACTTAAGATGCATAGCTAAAATATTAGTAGACTTATAAATGAACATAAAACATGGCAGCTACACTTAAAATTCGTGTTTAGAAATGTTAATAAATTAAATCTGTAGATAAAATCTGTTGTTTGATTACGGAAGCACAGTGAAAATAGGTTCTTATGTTTTAATTGTCTGCAACTTTTTATTGCAAGACCATGTTTTATAAATTGATGCATGCAGTTTCCATGCTATTTTTAAAAGGAAATGCACTATCTGCAGATTGTTGTATTTTCTTAATATCAATGCATTTTGCATGTATTTTATGATGTTATTTTAAATTGTTGTAAGGCACTGTGAATAGTACAGAGGCACTAGAAGGGTAGAAAAGAATTTCTACATAAATAAATAAATAAATAAATGTAAAATAAAAATTTCATCTGTTTATATCTTTTGCCTAAAGTAATTAGTGTCAGCTTCAAAAGTTAGCAGTGGATATTGATATCAGATTACTGTGCCATGTGGTCCTTTTAATCTCTTGCTTGGATTTTCATTTTAAAAAG